CAGGGCCCAGTCAGTCAGGCAGCAGCCATCCAGTCAGACACCAAGGAAGCAGGAGAGTAGGACACACAGAACAAAAGGTAAAAAACCCTGTGGCAAAACATAGATGAAGACAAACAGGGTAAAATAAGGTATAAGAGCTAGTGGGACAGGCCTAAACTAAAGTCAAGTATTAATAACTAATAAGTCTCTGTGTCATGATTTAGGGACTAGTAGCCCAAGAAAACCTGCTACAAAACCCCAAAAGTTGTCATCTGAATTCCACACACACACGTGCACATATGCATAAAAAACATACAAATGTAACAATTTTTTTAAAAAGTTATTTCAAACATACAAAAACCCCATAGTTAATTTAGACAATTCAATGTGACATCCCTGGGGGGCCTACTCTTTTCTGAAGGGAATCAGAGAAGTGGATCTGGAGGAGAGGGGAGGGGTGTGTGTGGGTGTTGGGGTGGGGGGACTAGGAGGAGAGTAGGGAAGGAAAACTGCAGTTGGGATATATGAGAGAATAAGGATGAATGGACGGACGGACGGACGGACACATGGATTAAAAATCCAACAACTTGATCTAAATACTTTTTGCTTTGTCACATTCAACAGATTTTAAGAAGATAATTTTACTGTGAGCAAACATACTTACAAAGCACAGCTTCCACCAAACCTTTTGCAAAGCTGATTAACTGATCAGAACTTTAATGATGGAAATGTTATAATGTTACAAGTCCAGAGCCAAAGGATCTTAGGCCACCTTTAGCTCCCTGGTAGCCATTTATTACCCACCTCTGTAAATGACCTGATATCTTTCTGCCTATTAGGTAAAACCATTGGAACACATAAAGAGAAGAGTAGCTTCAAACAACTACTATTTTTCATAGTATAGCTTTTCCAAAAAGCTAAGCATGCATCTGAGGCCTTGTCTATTTGGGGTTACTACTGCTGTGATAAAACACCATGACGAAAAGCAACTTGCAAAGGAAAGGGCTTATTTTGCTTCCACTTTCATATCACAGTTCACCACTGAAGGAAGTCAGGATAAGCAGGGCAGGAACCCAGAGACAGGAGCTGACACAGAGGCCATGGGGGAGTGCTGATTTTTGGCATGCAAAGACTACTTCTTATAGAATGCAGGACTACTAGACCAGGGGTGTCCCAACTCAAAATGGGCTGGGCCCTCCCCCTTCAATCACTAATTAAGAAAATGCCATATATGCTTGCCTGACTACAACCTGATCTTACAGAGACATTTTTCTTGCCTGAGGTATCTACCTACCTTCCTTTGAGATAACTCTAGCTTGTGTCAAGTTGCAATCAAACCAGCCACTGCAGGCCTACGGATAAGATTTCCCCACTTTTCTGGAACCTGCCTACCTCCTGTTGCCAGCAACATATTTAAAAGAACTCTTGATTTTCTTATTGTGTTAACTATACAACTTCATGAAACCATTATGATGATATTGGAACATGGAATTTGAGATAACGTGAATCTGTGTTTCTGGCCTATGGTCACTGCTCTAAAATGATTTCTTACTCCTTTTAAAGTTAAGAGCTGATTGTGTCAGCAGTTATGGTACTCAACTTGGAGCCCCAAGAATGATCTTTCCAGATCAGAGCCAGGAACCAATACAGCAACACAGGCCCTGTGGTGTTAGCTCCACCGGTGAGTGTGAGGGGTACCTCTTTGGGAGTCCTGCCTCCTTGGTTTGGCTGAGGGTCTGTTTATGCTGAGCTGGCTGCTTAGGATCCTACTGGGTGAGGACCACTTTTAAAGCCTTTAGTTTAAGGTATCCATTTGTCTGTTGGTTTGTTGGCTTTGAAAGCATTTTTGGTTCCTGACCACTTAGGGTGTTAATTTGATTTAAGTGTTTCTATTTTGCTGTTGGGGCTATGATAAGACACTCTGACCAAAAGCAACTTGGGGAAGAAAGGACTTTTGGCTTATATGTTCAGCTCACCGTCCACCACTGAAGGCAGTCAGGGCAGGACCTGAAGCGAGAACTCCAAGTAGAAGCCATGGAGGAAGGCTGCTTACAGCTCCCATTCAGCTAGAGTTTATGTACAGCCCAGAGTCTTTGCCCCAGGAATGGTATTGTCTATAGTGAGTTGAGCCCTCCTCCACCAATGAGGAACCAAGACAACCCCTCACAGCATGCCAACAGACTGCCCTGATGATAAGCTGTGTTAAAATGAAGTTAATTTTAACTAGGACAAGGAGGGAAGAAATATCTGGGGGAAAAACACGGACTTTTTTTTTTTAACTACAGCTGTGTTATTTCAAATTGCAAATTTAAAAAAAAAAAAGGAAAAAACCTAAAAAACTCTGGTTTTATGCATCCTAGGGGACATTTACTATCTGTAAACTGTTTTTACTATGTGCACTTAACTATTAATCCTGGAAATGAAAATTTTTAAAATCATAATTAGGCAGTCTAATTAGAACTTAAGAACATTTAAAAAGAACTAATAAGATCAGTAATTTATAAAATTTAACAGGAGTGTAAAAAATAAGTTAAAATGAGATGCTAGACATAAATAGAGGCCTGGAGAGATGGCTCAGCAGTTAAGAGCACTGGCTGCTCTTCCACAGAACCTGGGTTCAGTTCCCAGAATCCACGGGGCAACTAATAGTCTTTAACTCAGTCCTTGGGCATCTGCTGCTGTCTTCTGGCCTCTGAGGCACTGCATGCACATGGTGCCCAGACATACACATGTCTTATTTTCTTCTAAAGCCTTTCTTTCTCCTAACTCTTGTGCTAGGGCCTTTATTAAAATAAAGTCTTTTTTACCAGCTAGGTCTAAAATTTATTTCAGCACGGAGGCTAACTCCTCAGGCTGCTTGGATGACAATGTGCAACTATGTCTCTGTCTCCTCATCATGAACATTCCTCGGGGCTCTTGCCAGAGTCCACCCTGCAGCATTATTGGTGAGTTTGTCTGTCACTTGTCTGCTGAGCATGGCATGTTTATTACATTTGTGGTTCCTTTGCTTCTGTTTTTCTGGCCACAAGATCCACCTAGTGTTTGCTAAATGTGACTAGCACAAAAGATGGAAATCTCAGGCTTATCCATCCCCCACTCCTGCATCAGATGGGACAATACACACCCTTTCCAAGGGACATCATCCTAACAGCTGATCCCCCAGATATACTAAGCCACTCCCCGGCCTCCAAGAGGTCAGACTGAGACTAAATAGGACAGCTACTTGTGAATGACAAGAGGGAGAGTAGCCACTCAAGCACCTGTGATGGACAGATTCTGAGAAAGGGCTGTGTGGGACAGGCCTATGCTGCCACTGCATGGTAAGGGACAGGTCACCAATGCCTGGTTTAGGAAGGAAAACATATCCTAGCCTGTCACCGGGCAGGCAGATGATTCCTGACCCAAGAATCTGTATTCCTTTCCTTTCCTTTCCTCTTGTTCTTGACACAGGGTTTTACCCAACAGCCTCGTTGGCCTAGAACTCACCACGTAGACTGTAGACCAGGCTGGTCTTGAATCACAGAGATCTAAAACACACACACACACACACACACACACACACACACACGGTATGGGGAATATAATTTAGCCTTGGTATAAATTAAAACATTGAGAAAGCCATAGCTCTTAACAATACCAGAAGACACTGGTCTCACGTCTATAGGACAAACATCACCTCTCAATTTTTATGCTACAAAGCCTTGCTACATCTTAAGGAGATAAAGATGGTAAGTATCCCCCCCCCCATCAATTTTTATGCTACAAAGCCTTGCTACATCTTAAGGAGATAAAGATGGGAAGTATCCCCCCCACACACACATCTGGATTTCATGTAACTCTATCATGTGAGTCTGATAATTTTTTTTCATGTGTGTTTTGCACCCCTCCCCCCCGGAGAGGGGCAAAGAAGAACTATGCAATAAAACCTGTGGTACTTCCATTTTTTGTATGCTAAAATACTTTTGGCATGCTAATTAAAATGCTCATATGTAAATTTAAGTATCTTGGTGACATATAAAAAGGCCTGAAAGATGTATACTGCTTTAGAAATTTGAATACTCTGAATTTCTTAAAAACTATTGAAAAAAAAAACACCTTTGGGTCCATAAATTGTTTCTTAAAACTTTAAAATGCTATTTGTTCATATAAACAGCATTCACTGGGATTGTAAGACAAAAGTTTCAATGAGCTATAAAATTTAATGTCATATAGACTTTAGTAAGGATTTCCTTCCAAAACAGATTCTAAAGAAAAAAAAAAAACTAAATTTCTATTCATTCATATAACAGTCAATGGATAATGTAAGAAACAATGGAATTTCTCCCCAGAAAATATTCTTAGAAGCCAGGCATGGTGGCACAGGGCTTCAATCCCAGCACTGAGGCGGCAGAGGCTGGTGGGGGAATCTCTGAGTTTGAGGTCACCCTGGTCTACATATTGTATTTTAGGTCATCCAGGACTACACAAAGAAACCCTGCCTCCAAAACCAAAACAAAAAAGAAATATGATCTTTGATATCTTTCAATATTTGCTTTTCTGTAAAATTATGCATGCCTGTGTATTGTAGGCATGTACTCAGATTTCCATACCCTTTACATGGTAACAACTGGAAAACCTGAATCTGTATTCCCAGGCCACGATCACTCATTATTTGGCTCCAAAATAAACTATTTTTGAAGGAAAGGGGTTTCCATATGACCAAAAAATGGTAACTTTGCTGCTTTTTAGTTGAGTCAGACTTACATACCAAAATAAGTCTGTAGACAAATAAAACATTTAGAGTAACAAGAACCAACCCCGTCCGACACACCACTCTCTTTAACACTCTGTCAACTGGTAACCACTCAGTTACAGAGCTACTTCCTCAAGTACACACAGCATGGCAAAGTCTGTGAAACATAAACAATGCCTCATATACATAACATGCATCCATAATGTATGCACATAATCTACTTTATACGTCTTATCTCTAAGAATTCCAAAGCTCCCTGAAGCAGAGGAGACTGCAGAGTCCGTCTTACCTGGTAAATATCAGAAAGACTGCTGCTTCCAGAGTCGCTGGTGATGCTACATCCTGAGTGGCTGGAGGAAACGTGGGTCACCTGTGGGTGGAGGCTGTCAGTGAGGTGCAGTTTGGTGAAATCTGCAGGGAGCTATGGAAGCAGCAGAAGAAAAAGAACAGGATTATAAATAATCTGAAATAAGAACTTCAAGAAGACACTTAAAACTATGGTACTATACCTGACTACAGCACATTGAGCCAAAAACTATTACTAGGAAAGATCCTTCCATTTGAAAACTATTCAATATTGTCCTCCTAACCCAAATCATAACATGTTAAAGTTTACAAACATACAATGAACCTTAATAGTATTAAACTAGATGTCTAAATAGGTGGGTTAAGTGATTAAGACACATGGATGAACATTTAATTTGGTAAACTACAATTTTCAAGTAACAAATAAATGAACAAATTACTCTAGTTCTATTTGTTGGCAACTGCCAACCAATGCAAATTTGTGACAACGGTTTACATAGATAGCTAAAGAAATAGACTTCTGGTTCATTCATGCTCAAACAATATTTAAAACTTGCTTTTTTTTTTTCTTCTTCTTCTTTAAAGCAAGCATCCTGGAAGCACTGAATCATATTGCCACTTACTAGGTTATATCAAAAGAGATAAAACACCTCCTAAGAACTTGAAATTTCAGAGTTCACAGACAACATTCACTTATCTACACACATACCCTCTACCTCCTGCTCCCTGAGCTCTCACTCCTTGTTCACACACTAGGTTTGTATACAATGTACCAACAGCACTGACTAGTAAAACATTAGGAATCATACTAGTTGGTATGGTAAAACACCAATAATCATCTTTTTTTTTTTGCTGCTGTATACTGGTCCTATTTAGCTAATAAAATCTAGTCAGGGCTTGCCTTAGAGACCTTCCAGTCACTCCTTATACTCTCATTCCCTGTCCAGAAATGTAATAGTACCACATAGTGTAGAATAAGCCTTCCAAGGGAGATGCTTGGGCTTTAGCCAATAAGCTTCAATGCCTTAAGCAAAAGGGATTTACATTCCACATTCATTCAGACCTGCCTAGATGCCAACAATCTCAAACATATATGTGTGTGTGTGTGCGTGTGTGTGTGTGTGTGTGTGTGTGTGTGTGTGTTTAACAGTAGCTACAAGGCTGTTACTAAATGCTACAGTCAAAGTATGTAAGACTTAAACACGAATTTATTGTGCAGCATGCAATTAAACAGCAAAAAAAAATAAATAAAAGCTCTCATGTTCACAATAGTAGAGAAGTAGTGAATAAAAGTGCCACAAGCATTCCTATCTCACAAGAGTGATCACTGAATTTGTGCAATATGTACAACATAGGACAAGAACAATTTCTCTAGTGCCTATAGAATACTAGACAAGTATACAGGCATGCCTACATTCAGAATCTATGCTCATAACTACCAAATAAGTAACTGAAATTTAGTGATTATCACTTCCAAATATAACTCAGACTGACACATGCTGCATGAAACTTTTCAAATTAACCATTGTCAAATGAAGTTACAACTACCTAGTCAATTTTTCCTCACTAAACAATTATTTATTCAAAGCTCACAGGAATCCTCTCTTCAAGATCTATTTCCCGGACATCCTTTCTGCCTGTCTTGAGTTTACGGAGAGGGCTGGGCATGGTCAGAGCTCAGAGCTTGACCCTGCACGGGAGAGACCTATCCAGCTTTCACGTGTTGCTGATGCCTGCTCACCACCTAGTACCATAGCTAAATGGTTCCCTAGGTCCAGAACAACAATCTGTGGACTAAAAGAGAAACAGTTTCGCTCTTAACCATTCAGTTCCATCTAACAAGTGTTTGCTGCTTCTCTACCAGGACAGCCGCTCAGCTAGGAGCAGGGACGACAAAGATGAGTAAGACTTCTCCAGTCCAAAATGCACCCTCTGCCACCCCAGAAGTCACGCAGACAAGTGCTGATGTGCAGCAGAAAAGGGAATTAAACCTCTTCTTAAATGCTGGAATTCAAATTCAAGCCTGTGCTATGTTAGACAAGCTCTCCCCTCCACTACTGACCCATGCCCTCAAGTCCCCACATTAGTTTTAACTCCTTTCCCACAATCTGTGCATTCCATGGGTAAGAACACAAAATAATGATGTACTAAACTTAGAGTAAACGGTAATTAAATATTTCCTAAAATAAGAAACAGAAATACAGATGTCCTGTGTAGGAAACTTAAAAATCATGTGCCCTAAATGGGAATAACACCACAGTTTTAAATTTTATTGAATATGGGTATGGATCGCGGCCACAGAAAGGCAAAGGCTGAAAAGGTGTCTCTGTGAGGTACTGTGGGATGTGTATCGGTTGGTCCTACCATGCCTGATGGAAAAGCAGCCAGAGGCTGCCGTAGGATAATGAGAGCTCTTATGAGTCAAACAAAACTACAAAATGTGGGTGTTGGAAGTACTGAGGCTGACAGGTGCAAGCACCATGCTCCAACCAGGCTTCCCAATAACAGAGAACCCTGGGGAGACTTTCCAGGAGTCTAAATTAACATTGTCTCAATAGGCACATTCTGCCAACAAGAGTCAGGATTTTGCTCTGCTCCCAGCCTGGCCCAGTGCTGACTTATACTATTAGTGTACTGGAATTCCAGATTAGAACCATGATAGGAATTGCCTTAAGTCTGAAGCTCTGTTAAAAAATAATAAATAAACAAATAAATAAATAAATATGAAAGTTTCATGAACCTGAGACTATAGCTAATAATTATCTATCTAGGACAAATAAAGGAAAACTAACAAATTTCAAATACTCTGAGGTTTACATTTTTAATTTGATTATTTGTTTATACATAAAAGTGTGTATGAGCCTGTACTGTGAAGGTCAGAGGGCAGTCTGTATCAGTTGGCTCTCTTCTTTAACCATATAGTTCCCAGGGCTCAAACTCAGGCTGTTAGCTTGGAATCAAGCATCTTTACCCACTGAGATGTCAAAGGAATCTGTCATATCATATACTACAGCAATATACATGAAGGTATTTCTGATCAATTGTTCATGAATCAAGAATCCTACAGTTCTAAAAATATATTCACAGTAGAACACAAATTATTGTTTGTTAGACTGGTGTCTTCTGGGCTTTGTTGTTGTTGTTGTTGTTGTTGTTTTGGTTTGGTTTGGTTTTTTGTTTTTTGTTTTTGTTTTTGTTTTGAGACAGGGTTACTCTGTGTATCAGCCCTGGTTACTTGGAACCCACTCTGTAGACCAGGGTAGAATTGAACTCACCAAGATTCACCTGACTTTATGTTTTACTGAGACAGGGTCTTACTAGGTCTTCTATGTAGTTCTGTTATCCTAGAACCTGATATGTAAAACAAGCTGGGCTTAAATTCATAGTCTTATCAGACTAGACCTGGGCTCCTGGTCCACAAGGACTATAACAATAGATTTCTGTAGGGCTTTGTTGTTGTCCTCATTGGGTGGCTGTTTGGTTGCAGTTTTCTTTTTTGTTGTTCTTTCTTTCAGCTAGGGTCTTGCTATAAAGCCCTGGCTGTCCTGGAACTCATCCTCCTACCTCTGCCTCCTGCATTCTGGGATGCACCACCATACCCCACTTAGAAAACAGTATTTACAAGCCACCGTTAGATGAATGCCTGGACTATAGTTTAATCACAAACACTACTAAATAAATAAGAAATAAGAATTTATACCAGGGGCTGGAGAAATGGTACAGTCCTTAAGAGCACGTGTTGCCTTTCTAGGGGGCCTGGGTTTGAGTTCCATTACCCACATGGTAATTTCCAAACACTGTAACTCTAGTTCTAATGGATTTGATGCCCTTTTCTGGCTTCCACAGATATGAGGAATGTACATGGTACACAGACATACATGCAGGGAAAACACTCATATATATCTTTTTAAAATTTAAAGATTATTTAAACCAGAAATAAATAACATATATTTAAATCATAGACATAAATGTCAATTAAATACACATAAACATAAAACAAATCATAGTTATAAGAAACTTAAGCATTTCCTGTGTAATAGTGTCTTTCATTTTATTGAGAACAAACAGGGACACTGCCATGGCTAGCTTTAAAAGGGGGCTTTATCTTACATGTGAGTAGGTATACTTGATCATCACTGATTTGCTAATTTAATAGATGACATTTATAACATTTCTAGTTAATACATTCTCCTCAGAACACACAAAACAAGCAGGAATGTCCTGGTCTTGAAACATCACTATGACACTGTAGAACTGGTAGGGCTCCTAAGGCTGGCAACAGTGCAATAGTCTAAAAGTTTGCCTTCCTTCCATTTCCTCTGTGAAGAAACCCCTAGTTAGTGATCAGCTGAACAATATGGCCTCAGACTCTCAATTCAGCTAGGAAGTATTTTGTGGGATTCTATTACCAGATATGAGCTTCATTCTTTATAATGCAAAATATATTGCCATCAACTGAATTTTATTTAACCAATCTTTTTCTGAACTAACCTTGCAATAACATGCAGAAGACTTGGGAGACAGCTGGGATCTATCCAGCCTTCCCAAGCAGCTTACCCTGAGTAATATGACCTCAGATGAACCAATCACCAGTGATAGGAAGAAGAGGAAGGGGGGAGAACAAGAGAACTGAGACAGGGGAGGAATACAGGAGGGCAAGAAAGGAGATCCTTGGTAGAGGGAGACAGTACAGGTTTAGAAAGAGGTCTGGCACAGGGGAAATGTTAGGGGATCCACAGGGATGACCCCAACTAAGAATACAGGCATTGGTGGAGAGGATATCATTGATGCCCTTCCCTTATAATGAGATTGATGTCTACCTTAGTTACCATTCCTAGAGCCTTCATCCAGTAGCTGTTCCAAGCAGAGACAGGCACCCACAGCTAAACACCAAATCATACTATTCTCTTCCTTTTCCACCCCTCTCTGTAGTCTGGGGAATGAATGCACATTCTTGATTTTGCTAGGGAAGTCCTCTACCCCTGAGCTGAATGCCTGGTCATATTTTATTTTTATTTTGAAGAAAGGTCTCAATAGGTTACCTAAGCTGGCATTGGCATTAAAATACTTCCAACTCCAAGGCAGTCTATGGGACCTCTAACAGCGGAGACAGTC